TGTGTTTCTAATGGACAGGAAGTGATGTCTCCAACTGGGATGGAACAGAGTGCCCCATACATAAAATTTATTTTTATTTGAGAAACCTTCTTAAATAACTGAAAATGTGTAGTACTCCAGCAGCCTAGCCAAGTTTCCATTTGGGTCAGTGTTCCTAAGGCTAAATTCTGACTCATATACCCAGTTACAATCTGCCATCTGCCTATAGAAAATACTTCTCAGGGGAAAAAAAGGTAACTTAAAGAGGCAAATACACAACTCAAACACAGGTGGCAGGGAGTCTCTTCAAGCAATTCTTTCACCTTAATGTTAACTAGTTACATGGATTTCCAAAACACATCTTCCAGACCTGTGATGCCCCATTCACATGTTAGGTTTAAGCTGAAATGGTACAATACATTTACCACTGCATGCACCACCTCAATGATGTGTGGGACAAATGCATTATCTTCCTGTTTGAATACAGTCATAGGAATAATAATATGAAAAATATAAGAATACATTTAGCAACAACGACTAAGATGTTACAAAAGGCGTGATCCAGGAGGGATGGAAGAGGGTTGGTTTCCGGCCTCATGTGCTTGCATAGGGCCAAAAGATTTGGGTCACACACAGTTGATGTAGTCTTTTGAAAACCCCTATTTAGACAGATCCTAAGGATGAAACCCTGCTTCTGGGTGTTTCAGAGCTGCCTACGCTGGAGAATCAGAAGAAAAAAGGGAAATCTCTGTTGAATTGGTAAAGATAGTGGAACCATGACTTTTATTTTTAAAGTAACACAGATCCTTATTTATCCCAGAGGTATTTAAGATGGTAGGTGCTGCAGTGGAAAATAAAACAGCCTGGTGGCACTCAATACACTGTTAACCTCGGCTGTATCATAATGTCAGCAACATTTCCAAAATATTTTTTCTGTGAACAGCAAGATTTATACATAACCTATTTCTTGCTCTGTGTGTATCTAGACCCTTTTTAGATCTGTGGTACCTCTGACCAAGTGTTCTCACTTAAACTCTCAGCTGCTGCTCTAGAAGTTTTAAAAAAAAAAAAAAAAAAGTGTTGACACATCAAGGGCCGTATTTTCATTTCTGGGCAATATTTTCTAGTAAGCAGAAGTTTCATATCTTGAGCTGGGCAATGAAATATTTTCAGCGGTTTTAAAGATGGAAAATAATCTCGCACACAGAGGCTTAAACAGATCAAATATTTTTCATGGGGCATTTATTAATTAAAACAAAAAAACAAAACAAAACAAAACAACCCCAACCACCGTCCCTGCCGTGGAGCGCGGGCGCCCCCTGTAGCCCGGCGGGCGCGGTGCGGGGCCGGCCCCAGGCTGTGTCAGCGCCGCGCTCTCGCACCCCGCGGAAACCGCGCCGGGCTGCGGTGAGACAGAGCTGCGACTGCTCCTCGGCAGCTGTGGAGAGCGTAATTGAAATGTTTCAGGTTCTGACTGATGTCTGACTCTCCTGAAATTTGTGTTGGCACATCCTTGTCCGGTTGCGGGTGCTGCTCTCTCTCTGTGTCACAAAAGCGGAGGCATCCCTCTAAATCAGTGACATGGATACATGCGCAGAGGGAAAAGGATTACATGGAAAAAGAGCTGCCGAGGGAGTACCTGGGCAGTACAGATAAGTTCAGTGAACAAATCAGCATTTACACTGGCCAAACACATTTTGCACAGGCAAAACACACTTTTCCTATCACTGAAATAGCTTTTCTTACATTGTAAATGACAAGTATTTGCTGCCGAAAATGAGGGTTTGTCATTGCCCGCCAGCCAGAAGTCAGTGCTGCTCCACACTTGAAGGTTTCTTAATTTACACCACTACAGCTCCTCTCTTAAAGGCACTGTCCGCTTCAAAAGGAAGGAGTGATCTGTTCTCTGCTACTCTGTTCAGAGCTGAGATCGATTGCTGTCTTTAAACTGCAGCCAACTGTCTTCCTCTCAAGTTTGCTAGTTTGGAAAGAAAATAACCATGTCAACGCCTATGGAACATGAGGGCCTCCAAGCCCTGCACCTGTGAGTCACTGTCAGCCAGGAATGCAATGCCTCTCACACACCTACATAATGTGCAAAACACATAATGAAGGGCATCACCCAGCAACAGTCCTATCACGTCAGAGAATGGACTGCCCAGGGAAAGTTTACACCTTCTTAGTGTCTAGCAGAGTTATTACAATGACTGCCATAGAAATAATTAATGTACTGAGGTTTGCTCGACATAAAACCACAGGAAGATGTTCCTGCTCAATTACTCTTCTAAAAAGAGAGCTAACAAATGTGAATGCTCCTGATCGAAAAACATCACCATACCTTTCTCATAATTTCCTTCAGCTTCAAATGAGAAAATTCAAGGAAGAAATCAGTATATTTAGAAACAGCAGTAGCTTACATTAGATCCATTGTTTGATGTATTTAGAAGTCTCTTTGAAATTTGTAAAGCTTAAAAACATGGCCTGCCATGGCCAAGTAGTGATGGCTTGTCATGAGCTCATATCTTCCATGCAATGTTTTTCAAATAACTTCATAACCTACTACTTTTACTTTTCATTTAGTAGCCAAAGTCATAGAAACCCTTCTAAGACTAGTGAAAAGCACATTTGTCTACATTACAAAACTTACATAATTTCTTTTTGTTAAGATCCATCACCATACAGTGTACCAATAACATGGTGCAATCCTTTCGTAGGAGGTTGTGCTTTTTTCTTTTTGAAATCTGACCTGTGATATCCCAGGTGTTTATTTGGTACCACTGTGGGGTTTAACAACTATATCTACAATAATTCACCTTTGGGGAAGGGAATTTTAGCTGCAATTAAATGCCCAAACTATTCCCTCTTTCATCAAAAAGTCAGAGGAACTTCAGAGGACGGCAGAGGCTGCCTGTAGAGGCTGCATATTAAGTCGGGAGTTGCTGAGGACTGGAGATGGCTCCCTTCTCTGCCCTGAGTCCCAGCACTAAGTGGCACAATGGGAGCAGATTTGAAGGGTAGGGTGTGAAATGGGTCTTAGGTGATGATGGTACAGAAGAATCAGGGTCATCATTTTCTTCCAGACTCTGAGGCAGAATTCAGGACTCTCACACCTAAACCTTCACCTGTGACTTTAAAGCAAGTAACTGTGCAACATCTAAGTAGTGATGTTATTTTTGTTCTTTATTCTACTCCCTGAAGACAAAGGATGCCTATTACCTCAGGTAGAGGATATCTGTGTAGTACCAAGCCTACGCATACCTTTTCAGTATGACACGACAGTTCCAATTTCCTCTTCTTGGCACCATCTTTTCTAAAAAGGGAAATCATTCAAGAAAATTTTTTTTATAATACAGACTTGCAAGAAAATGAAGTCAACACTTCTTTGCCAGCCTTGATCTTGGCCTTTTAAACAGTCTTAGCAGTCTTCATTCCCTCTTTCAATCATTCTGTATCACACCCTACATTTGGTCCATGTCAGTCCTGTGGTTTGTGTACAAAGCCTTTAAAGCAGCTATGGAAGGCCCACTCCTAAGGAGCAACTTTGGCCTTTTGCAGTGGAAAGGAATGAAAACCAGCCATACAGCACTCTATGTCACAGCCTTGAGATGGTTCATCTAAAAAAAAATTAGCATAAGTAATGGAAATCACCATTTTAAGCTAACAGTAGTGATCCATATTACATAGGTTAATATGGGTTTGGGAGCAATTCCTGTAGTTAGAAAACCATGGTTCTGAACAGTTCACCGATAGAATATGTGAACATTTAACCTTGTTCAGCCCATCCCTGTGTGTTTGCATCAAAAGATTGCTGTTCAACAACTACAGGCTTTCCAAGCAGTCTCTGGAGCCTGCCAGCAAGTTGAGAGCTTCTCTGTCACCAGGGAAACCATGAACCCGTTCTGTATGTGGTCAGCCTCCCAGAGGTGAGGCTATTACCAGGTATCATCATAAGGAAAGACATCTCCAGATTAATTTCCTGAGCTAGATATTGTATTACTGGTGTATATGAAAGGATAGGTTCCTACCTTTGTAGAGGCTTCTGATCCTATGGTTAGTTCAGCTGGCAAAACTACTGTCAAGTTTTCTAAAGGTTTGAGTTCAAACACATGGGTTTTTTTGATCTCTATTATATGATTTAAACCTGATTAAACCTGACACCTGAAGGAAAAGTTTAAAAATAGATGAGAAGTTGTTCTCTCCTTTGGTAGATACATGGAGAAATTAGAAAAATGCAATAAAGTGGAACCCGTTTAAATATTAGTTCAAAAATGTTGTCAATTGTGAGATTTTTTTGAAATTCAGTCACTTTTTAGTTCAATCAAAATATTTCTGAAAATGATAACAATAATGTTAACATTCCAAGTGGTAGAATGGCAAATTAATTTTTAATTAAATTATAAATAATCAACATCACTGTTAAAAGGAAACAGAAGAAAGGTGCTAGTTATGAAGTAAAAAAAGAAATAGTTCTGTGATAACAGAAGATCAAAGTTGGCATGGTCTAATTAAAATATAAAATGCTTCATGAATATCAAAGGGTTACCGTCATCTCTGACAGACACTGTCAGGTGATATTATAGGCACCTTAATTCTTCTAGAATCATCTTTGCCTCCACTGGCTCCCAACTCTGTACTTTGTCACAGCCTGGATAGAAAAGCAAATGAAAAGCTGGAAACTAAACCTGGTTTTACTGTCAGAGCTCCTCTAAACAGAGTTTAAAAGTTTTGTTGATGTATCAGTCTATTGGCAAACTGAGCAACTCAAGCCTGAATAAAAAATTGTTACATTATTGCTACCTAAAAAATTATATTTAAGGTAAATTCTGCCCAGGCTTTCAGCCTTCTCCCTTTCTATACCTAAATGCTTCCCCAGGGTATGGAGGAGGCTACATGGCTTCTATATAACAGGAATGTCAAACAACAGAAGGCTGAATTCATGGTTAACAATGGCTCCTTCCACTTGAACCTCAACTATTTAAGCAAAAAGAAAAGTCAATAATCAAATTTTGCCTCTGTTTCAGATGGATACACTACTGATGATATTGAATTTTACTGGAATGGAGGAGAGTCGGCAGTAACAGGAGTTAATAACATTGAGCTCCCGCAATTTTCTATCGTTGATTACAAGATGGTATCAAAGAGAGTGGAATTTACAACAGGTAAGCACTGGATAGTTAAAAGAATCCTTTCCTCTCTTCCCCAACCCAGACATATCAGTGTGTAACTTTTGTTAGGCATTACTCATTATATGATTTCTTTCTTTCAGGAGCATATCCTCGATTATCACTTAGCTTCCGGCTTAAAAGAAATATTGGATACTTCATTTTGCAAACTTATATGCCTTCCACACTAATCACAATTCTTTCATGGGTATCTTTTTGGATCAATTATGATGCCTCTGCAGCCAGAGTTGCCCTAGGTAACTTCTTCTCAAAATAACTGACCTGCATAGATACTTGTTGCCTTTGAATACAGTAGCACCAATTCCACATTGCTGATTGCAGCATCATTAATTGTGATTTTACATATACAGTGTGGGACCTGTGTTGTCAGGAAGGCAGGCAGGTGCCACCTTGCCTATATCTGAAGCTGTTGCTCTGCAGTTAATTTGGGATTCTGACTGATTTGCTGTTGTCATAATGGTCTTTGGATCAGAACAAAGTATCTTGCTTCCAAACTGAAGCGCAAAACTCTAATTCGGGTATTTAAGGGTATCTACACTGTGCTTCATGAACAATCCATGTAGATGTTAAAAAGTGTCCTCTCAGGCCAGATGTGTGATTGAAATGTATACATTAGATCCTGCTGACATCAGTGGAGATGTACCAGCTTCCTTTTCTCCTTTCAATGCTCTGTTTTCAGTCAAAAGCTAGGGACTTATTCCAGATCCCCAGATCAGTGCAAGTCACCCTATGGGATCAAGCAGGGCTACTGCTGTAAATAAAGTGAGAAGCATTTCCACACAGAAAAAACAGCAATCAATTCTTTGCTATCCAGGTCAGCCAACACCATGTTCCCTAGCCAAGATATTGTAAAAATTAAGGTAAGTTGTACCAAGACAGTCTGGGTTTTTGAAAACTATTTCATTCACCCTCCATTGCATGGAAGGCCAAGGAAGGTGTGATCAGCAGACCTGCAAGGATATCTTCCTTTCCAGTCCATGCACCATTTCATGGCAGCATGTAATGCTGCCACTGTGCCTTTCACTGTGCCTTTCACTGTGCCTTCCTTGTCTTGTTAGTCAATGCCTTTTTCTTCTTTTTGCAGGAATCACAACTGTGCTGACCATGACCACCATCAGCACCCACCTCAGGGAGACCTTGCCAAAGATTCCCTACGTCAAGGCAATAGATATTTACCTGATGGGATGCTTTGTGTTTGTGTTCCTGGCCTTGCTGGAATATGCCTTTGTAAACTACATATTCTTTGGGAAAGGACCTCAACATCAAAAAAAGACAGCAGGCAGGGCAGGACATGCTCCAGGCAAGAAGAGCAGACTGGAAACAAATAGAGTCCAGGTAAAACATTCAAGCTAACTTTTCAAACCTTATTTCTACTATGACAATGTTGATGTATATGATGATAGAGATAAATGCAGATGGAACACATGCAAAAGTATTTAAGATTGCCTAAAGAAAAATTGAATTTTAAGAGATTACAGCAATGTATAGTCTGTTCCATCTTCAGTTGAAAACGCAGTAAGAAACTACATAAAATGCAAATGAATATTCAGGACATGCATTTCTTTGCAGCAGAGAAGAAATACAAGGATACAAGGGTACAAGGAAGTTAAATATTTACCACTTCAGCTGTATATTTCTTCAATATAGAAGGTAGTATAGAAGAAATGTTTATAAGAAAGTTCCTCTTTACACACAGAAACTTCACCAAAAATAAAAAACAAAGATAGACTCTGTTGCTTCAGTGAGCCCTGAATGAAGCCCATATGACAGAGCTTCCAGGAACAAAAGGATGCTGCTGCTAGGTTATAACAGCTTTCACAGGTATCAGGATTTTTCCTTAAGCTACATTCAAGCAGACCTCAACTACCCTCTCTTAAAAAAAACAAAGACAGAAAAACTCCAGGAAGTAATACTATGCACTTTTTTTTTAACAGGGACAAATTTAATTTTGCAATATATCACCAAGCACTTGCAAACTGTTTTAAACCTATTTCAACTTTTCCCAGTTTTTCAGAAATAAACCCTTCGAAGCCTCAGGTATATTTGGCCCAGTCTGACTCAGAGGAAAATACATATCCTAATGAGCCAAAAGTTTTCTTCCTTTCTCTGCTTTTCTTACAATATATTGCATCCAAGTATTAATGAGATCTTACCCAGGCTGTCCTATAAACTTCTGTACTGTTGTGGCCTGAGGTGATAACATTTGGACAAAACTTTATTTGAGCCCTCTGTTCAGCTTGAAGAATGAGACCGACACATAAAACTCTTAACAGGTAAGACCTTATCTTGATGGATGGTTGCAATTTCACATATATATTAGGAAGTATGTTTCAGAAACTCTGTGGTTCTAAATTTGTGTGTCTGGTGTCCCAGCAGCCACACCACTACAGCTAAGCATCATTAACAAAGCTGTCATATCCTCAGCCTCAGTGAACTTATGAGCCCATTAAAAGTCCTTACTCACATTTGCCTCCTGTTCCCGTTGTGTAGGAGATGCTTTATTACAGTGGGGGCACAATATCAGTTCAGACAATCATCAGTCTCCAAGGTCCCACAAAGTACTGTCTTCCACACAGCAGAGGAGATAAGCCACCCTCTTATGGATTGTTGTGCACAGACACTGTCTATGCATTTCTATGAAAAATAAGGAAGGGAAAAAACCCAGCAAAACTCACAGATTCTGACCAGCCACCTTAACAGCTCCTGAGATAACCCAGCCTAGGTGATAAGCAGCACATCAAGGATTCAGGATGAAGAGGGAATCAACACTTCTTCAGAGGTCAGCCTTGTTCCCACGGGCCCCAGTGCACTGAACTGAGTAAAGGATGAGAAAGTGTAAAGGATAAGAGTGCTGGTAAGTTCTTTTTTCTACATATTTGGAGAGTTTGTTTAACTAACAAAAAGCCCTAACTCATAACTAAAAGCTTTTGTCTAAATGTTATATGGCAAAGATTAAACTGAGGCTGCTACTCGAATGGAATGGAATGGAATGGAATGGAATGGAATGGAATGGAATGGAATGGAATGGAAAGTTTTTAGAGAACCACATGCATCCACCAGCATTTTTCTGACAGAAAAAGAAGGCATACGTGCTTTGTACCTGGATTTGTAAGTGCTTACACTTGAGACAGAAATTCCACTCTGAGGCTGAGAGTGCTTTAAGTGAACAGACTGCTTTCTGCCTGTACAGTGCAGGTTTATCTTAGATACGTATATATATATATATATATGTGTGTGTGTGTATTTTTATATATATATATGTATATATATATATACATATATTTATATAAATATATATACATAAATTTAGCCATCAGCGCGCTTGCGGCAAGCGTGGGTAGAGCCCTTCTCAAACCTTCGTTCGCGAAGCCTAACCATGATGATGATGATGATGATGATATACATAAACATATCCCACACTTTGATGTGGGACCTCATGAACATTCAGTTTACTCAGCATGGAAATGCTGATGTCCAACGGTTGTATTTCTGTCCTTAGCAGGAAGAAAGTACAAAGTACATGACTGGAAAAGTGGGACACAGTAAGGTTATGTGAAAAAAGCTTCAAGCTATTCTCCATTGTGTTTTGAGATTTTTCACTGGTATTATGATGTCTGTACCAGAGCAGGGGAGAGGTTTTTTGGAGCATAAAAGTACAGCTGTAAGTATATATAGCTATAGGATATTTTTTTCCCTTCTGCTCATGACCCACACCACTTATCCATACAGGGTCCTCTAACCAATAGATGATATGTAACAGTGCTTCATCTCTTTGTGCCAGGTGAAGATACTAATCATTCCCATCTGATAAGCAACTCCCACGAGTAAAAGAGTTCAAATTCCTTCACCAGATAACAAAAGCATTAGATGTGTGAGCAACACTCAACAAACTGACCATGATATTAACAGTATAGAGAAGACCTGAAGAACAGTGAAACTGAACTGCTGTTTCCTATGTGGCTGTTCCAAGCTCTACGGATTGAAGAAGGTGGAAATAGTGTCTTTCCAGTTTCACAATTTATGCCATTTTAATTTCTAATATACAAAAAATACGAATTTGTAGTAAACAATATTTCTGTTTCTCTGAATAAAGCATAAAGACTATGTATATGTCCTTGTTTATTTGTTGAAGCTAGATGTCATTGAGGAGACCGCCCTAATTATGGATAAATAGGACAAAACCACTCAGCAAGAAAATATTTAGATAATCCATGCATGCAACTGCTCCTGTTTCCCCTGACAATGACAGTGTGAATAATTGTTACAGAGAACATTTCTCTTAAATATGAGAAAAAGTTAGAATGCAGTCATAGTGTGAGTGGGAAAGGGGCTGAGCTATCATAAGGTTCATAAATGACAACACAAGGCAAGTGATAGGTGGTCTCTTGCTACCCGAGTCTGCACAGCATCACACCTTCCTTTCAAACCTTCTGTGAACCACAAAGCACCCAGAATAGAAAGCCAGAGACCAGCCACAGGTTCTGAGGAAACCATGATTTTCCAATAGAGTGGCTACTGGAAGGAGAAAAAAAAGGGAAATATATAACCACACAATTAGCTCAAACACCAAGTAAATCCCCACTGGAATAAGTATAGCCCTGTTGAGCATAACCTGTTTCTTTGCAGATCAGATTGTGATAACACTACTACATTTGTTCCAACAAGACAGCTTATATGAGTAATGTGGCCCTGAATCTTTCATCTTAAGAGGAAGACGGGTTTGTATTGAGATAAAACAGAAGTTCTTACCTTTTATCTCCCAGCAGTTAAGGAAAAAAAAATAGGTAGGTAAAAACTCATTCCAGACAGCATTAAGCATTTGAGACCCATTCTTTGGCAAGGAATGCCAACATGCTATTCTTCCCCTAGAGCTGACTGACTGTTTTTTGTGTGGTCAACACAGAACTGTTGTTTTGGGTTGGTTTTATTACTTTACTGTTTTACAGTATAATTTGATGGTTCTAAGCAGAAAACTAATTTTCTAAGTAAACACACAAGCAACATTATTTTTTTTTAATGATGTTTCCTCAGCACACATCATACACTTATGAAAATTCATATATATGCACCTGTGCTGATTTACGCTTTAGGTAGTTCCATTGCAAAGGAAAAATTATAAATTTATATACTTAATTAAGATACCCTCTCAATACAGATACAAATGTTCTTACAAGAAGCATTACCATGTACGTTCACCTGAAGAATATATAAACCTCGATAATTACACCATATAACTAACACAGCATCAGCTTTAGATCATTTGACATGGTCCTCACATATTCTTCATTATATGTTCCAAAGACCAAAAAAAAATCAGTTCTTCAGCTTTCTACAACTTTAGGCGAGATTTATGCATTGTACAAACTAAAGTGTTTGTGCAAACACACATTTAGGCTCAGAATATCTGTTAAGCAGGACATCTTGTTTTCATCTGAGCCGTGGTCGGCTTATGTAACAAAATTTAGGGCATTCCAGTTAAAGAGCAACACGGTGATATTTGAAAGCATAAATGTATCATATCTGAGCAAGGAAAAAGTACTCTAGGCTTGATATGGCTCATCCTTCCTCCATAAGGAGGGGACTGAGATACTGTACTCCTAAGCAAGCAGCCAGACAGCTACTGGGTCAGAAAACTCAGCAGACAGAGCCTTGTCTCTTCCATCCCCATTTTTTATCATGCCATCTGATGCAAATATGTCAAAGACTGTACAACTGCAGTACCTATCGGAGGGGAAAGAGCCTCATCAATGAGGCATGGGTTGGAATGAGTTAAAGGCTGCTCTCTGGTTCTGATGCACAGGCTTCCTCCAGCACAGGGCCAAGAGAAAGCCCCCAGTAACCTTGTATTAAGTAAGGGAGAAAAAAATTTTAAGACAGAAACTTTACATCATTTACTGTGCACATATTTGCTATTAATTCATTCTAAAAATAACATTAGATAAAATTAATAACAAGTCTCTTTTGGGGATCCCTTAACAAGTTGTACATTTTCCAGATTCCTGCAGGAATTTGTAAAATTACTAAGCTTCAGTAACAAAATCTCAGCTGCACAAGTTTTAAGAATATTTTTATGTGAACTTCAAGATATACTGAGAGGATTTTTAATTATGTGGGAAATTAACTATTTCCCACAAGCTTCACATCACACAGAGAATTTGACCAGGTACATAAGATGAGATTTTATACTTCCCTGAGCTAATTTAGTCAAGATCAGTGTAAGGCCCTTTGCTGTCAATTGCAAAGACTTCAGTTCAAAGACCAAATTGTTTCATGATATATACAAAGCACCTTGCCTAAAATGGTTTAAATGAAACTTATTCTAAAAGTAACAGGTTCATTCAGAACACTTAGAGTAGGAATTCATGTGCTGCTTGCCTCGTAATAAACTGTCAGGGCATATTAGTTTAAGAAAGATCCCTGTGAATCACTTCAGACTGTAGGCTGTTAAGAGTTGTCTTGTCAAAAGTCATAATAACTGCCTAATGATGCTTGCATTACTGTTACTACTATTACAAGACTAAAGTCAATTAGCTTACACATTAGATTATGTAATCAAAGACAGCTCAAAGAGCTATTTCATATAACTGGGATGAAAAGGTTGACTATCAAAACTTCTGAGTATTTAAAAAAAAAATCTTTCTACACAGAGACAACTCTGAGATCATTATTTTTTCCACTGAAAAAATGTCAGATCTTTGGAGTAATGAATAGTCCAGTGGTTATGGCAGTCCTCTGGAGAGTAGGAAACCCTAGTTTAAATCTCCCTTCTGCTTAAATTTGAAGGCTTGACCTAAAAAGTATAAATTGGGTAGTCTATATCTCAAGCAAATATTTGAAACAGCATGCTCATTTGTGACAAACTGGCCTCTCTAACCCATTATACGTGAGTTTTTCCCACCAAAACAGTGGTGAGAACTGGGGTGTTCCCACTGAATGCTCATTTCAGCACATACAGAAGCAGTTGCTAAACCAGACAAGTACATTTTCTATCTGTGCTGACTTATACTCCATTTAGAAGATGTTTTTACCCCACAGATCTCTTGGGTGCCTTTTGTACAAATAGCACCTTCACTGCTTTGTTTTCAGTTAGCAGGTGCTTAGTCTGGCACAGTGCAAAGACATCAGCAGTCGTTACATGGTGATTTCTCCTGGCAATGGGAAGGAACATATTCCACACTGCCAGGTGGAACTGAGGCTTTCTCTGGCTCCCAGCTATCTTCTGTGGCAACCCTAGAGACTGGGTTTCCCTGTGTGTTTTTCTTGGAGATTTTGCTTGAACATACTTTAAATCTGCTGTAGATTATCATATTATTTCCTAGCTCTTCTATGTCTTACTAAAAATGTAAAGATCAGAGCGCAAACAAAGCATTGCATATCACTGGTGCTTCACACCACCAGATGTTGTCTATAATTACTATTTTATTCCTTGATATAAAGGCATCCACATGGTCTAGATTGTAATATATTTGGGATAGGTCAAACACCACAGTTTACCAAAAACAATTTTAATACTCAAGCCTGAAGGTGAAGTCTTTGAAGTTTCATTTAAGAAGCCTGTGTTCCAATGTGTATTTCCCTCGTATGAGCTACAGTGGATGTTTAAACATCTGTGAATTTGAAACATCTAGGAAGTCTTTATGAAGAAGTTGGAAGTCATCCTGGGAACACCAAAAACTTTTCAAAAGAGGTTTTACTACAAACAGGTGGAAAACTAAAGACTTGTGAAAAGGTAAAAACACTTTGTAGCAATGCTGCCATTCATGGTTGACTATATTCATACATAAAAAAGACAATGATACAAAAAAATTTTATGTATATATATATATATAGAATATTGTGCCAGATGCACATAGTGGTTGCAGTTTCCAGTTCTTTGCTTAGGTACTTAAAACAGTGCCTTGACTAAATAACAGCAGAAATAAAGTGACAAACATTTAAAACAACTGCTTCTGGTACCAACACATAAAAATGCAACTGAATGTAGGGTTCATTGAATAAAATGGATTATGACAAGGCACATGAACAAGTTAATGATATGCTATGATTTCCATCTCTGTGATGTAGTAATTGTCCAAAATCAATTTTCATCATGAACATTTTACATAACTGTACCTTAGTGCTCTTCATATCATGAGCCCATTGTTAGAAAACTCTTTGAAACTAACCTTTGGCACTAAAACCGTATAAAACTGTTTAAAATGGGCAGAGACAGTAACATTTTCTTTTCACCTTGTGTACATGAAACCTTCAAGTGTCTGGTCACCAGACATTACAAATCAGTATTTCGTAAAGACCATGATCCAAGTTAAAGATAAAATTAGAAAAGTCTTACTTCACAGAGGATAAGACAACTAACTGAATTACAAGGTCCTAGACCAAGAAGCCAGGTCAGGATGGAAGGTACTTGGATATTTATTAGCTAATTTCACACTAGTCGGGAAAGTGTATTCAGTATCTTTATACTTCTGTGAACACCATACCAGACACGACTGTCACCGCAGGAGTGTTTCGGTAGTAGAGCCAGAAGGTCCATCTGGGAAAAACCTTGGGCTGGCTGAGGAACTTGTCTAATTCACATTCCTTCCTTGACACAGGTTGATCCCCATGGAAACATGCTTCTTAGACCACTTGAAATACGAAATGATGTCAGCAGCTCAGATGTGTTCACGAGCCTCCGTGACCCTCCAGCCACCACATACACATATGACAGTGCCAACCTGCAGTACAGAAGAGCCACTTCCAGCAGAGACCTCTACATCAGGAGTCCTCTGGACAGGCACAGGCTTCATAAAAAAGGACACTTACGACGAAGGGCATCCCAGATCAAAGTCAAAATCCCTGATTTGACTGATGTTAACTTGATAGACAAGTGGTCCAGAATGGTCTTTCCCATCACGTTTATTGTTTTCAATGTTATTTACTGGATGTATTATGTCCACTGATTTGTGCAATAATGTTACCACAGACTAACTTAATAAGACTTGTTTCTTTTCCTTCTCAATTTTGTTAATTCTGAAGAACTTCAGTAGCTATAATGTTACATGCTCACTGTAAGATACCCAGCCACAGTCCCATAGCATTCAAATCAGAATACTACAGATCTGCTCTTAAAGAGCATCTTCAGCAAAAGTGCTGTACCTTGATTTTTACAAAGTTTATGCATCACACATGACGTTTCTTCACCCACTTTAATTTTTTTTTAAGTGGAATAGAAATTGGTCCCACTGCATTTCTTATCACATATTGGCAGCCCACAGCAGCATGCTTCCAAACAACAGAGTGAAACAACTCAAATTAGTATCTATGTCACTGTCTTTCAGCATTTAGAATGTAGAGAAATTTGAAGAAATATGAGTTTGAAAGATTATAACCGTTAGACCACACATCATTTCAAATAGTTATACTGGGAAGGATTCTCATAGTATGTGTGAGAAGTATCATTCAAGGAAAAGTTAAATCACATTTTCAGAGAAGTAAGGACCTTGAAAAGAAATAAAGGGTATCATAGAGAAATACCACTGAATTTCCAAGCAAGGAATCAGCTGATTTGATCTAACTGGACACAAAGTAATAAAGTTGAAATTTATAAGAACAATTGTGTCATATGCAATTTTGTATTAAAAAGTAGAAAACAAGCTCATGTTCATTCCTAGAAGCAATACTGAGACATACCCCAGGCCAAGACTTTTAACTCTCCTATGGTTGGTAATTGCAACATTCTCCCAACAGTTACACACAGAATCAAACAAAGTATTCTGAGTTGAAAGGGACCCATAAGGATCATTGAGTCCAACCCTTAAGTGGATGGCCCCTATGGGGATCTAACCCATGACCTTGGTGTTATTAGCACCATGCTCTAAGGGGAAATCAAATACAAAACCAAGTTGGCAGATGTCTGGAAACAGATCTGAGGAGATTTCTTCATATAGTTTCCTACAGATTTCCTTAATCCAATGAGGATCAGAAGATTCAGCGTCTGAGTCTTATGGCACACCAGTGATGTTGGGTGCACTCCTTTTGAGGAGTTACCTCTCTGCACTTGGCTGCTTCTTGCCTGACACAGCCAATTCCAGCCAAAGAGCCACAGGCAAAGTTCTAGAAAGGTCCATGCAATTGAGAAACAATAGGTCAGTCATCTCCTCTATGGCCAATTGTTTCCTAACAGTGTTTACACTGTTGTCTAACATAGCAATTTATTGAAACTATTATCAGTTAATTTTTTTTTTTAATTAGAAGTGTTTCATACTTTTAGGAGAGTTGAGATGTACAAGGCAACAAAGTCTATGTAGGTACCAAGGTGATTGTTATCCATGGAAGCTCGTAAGAAAGAAACATTGGTACGGATACAAATGAGTGATTGGAAAGCTTCTTCAGCAGCTCCTCATCGCCTGGCAGTAAGGTCAGCCAATTCCCTTATTGCCAACTGACATGACAATTTCTTTAATCAGAATATAATAACAAATGAAACCTTCCTACAGGCTAAGGTTTGTTACATTGTGCAATACCTGGACCTTCTCATCTTTCCCTTTGTTTGTGCAGCAGGCTTCTGCAGAAAGAGTCTGGGATAATAGAATCAGCAAACAAGAAAGGGAAGAGGTTTCATTTACTCGCTATGAAAAATATAGGGCTGCAAACCAGGCATTGCTAATCTAAGAGGGTCTTAAAGACTATCAATTTTTCTGTGGGCTCCAAAGTCCCAACCTCATCCCAAGTTCAATAGAGCAAAGTGGTGGTCTCGTCAGATGTCTTCTCTCTGCTGATACAACCTTTAAACTCCAGTCTATTAAAGAGTTACACAATTTTATCAGATTAATCAGCCACTGGGTACAGCTTGAGGTGATTCAGGACAAATATTAATTCAGTCAAGTGGCTCTTCTGAGTAGGCTACAACTTGTATGCCTATCCCCACCCTGAAACAACTTCAAATATTTTTTAAACAAGAATCCCACATGGGACAATTTGATTAATTTTTTAGTCAAATTTAAGCAATGTTTAGATAAGAATATTTGAGTGGCAACTAACTATATTATTTTGATATTGTAAAATAAATAATACAGGGAACATATGGAAGTAAGTAAAGTGAACTTTCCATAACTGCAAAAAATGGCCCCAGGAGGGGGACAGCAGTAGGGCCATAAATACTGTCCATTCCAAACATACACCCCATTAAATTTGAATTCCGTGAACTGGCACCAGACTTTGCTAACAGAGGAAGTTCAGAAACCAGTGAATTTGAACTCACTGCATTTTTGAAAAGTTGATCTTTGAAAATTAAGAGGTAGCAACACAAAATTCTGTTCAGCAACATACTACAAAATAAGCTTTAAATAACCACCTTAATATTCTTTGGAGTACAGACCTCCTAGGTATCTGCTGCATCTATAAATTGTGTCAGTGGACCAGCACACAAGTGTCTTCTATCCAAATGACATCCCAAACTCGATAGTGTACACTTGTATGAAGTAAATTGCTGTTTATTGATTCTGCTACTGTAAATAAAAGTAGTTTTCAGTCCTTTCATCCTAAATGATAAAAACAGCATGGCAGCAATAAAAATCACTCACCAGAAAATAAAGCCTCTTTTCTCTACAAAAACCTTTTAGCAACATATGCCTATCATAGGAAAGCTAAAGCAGAGTTACACCTTCAGTATGGATCACACAATCCATGAAGCATTTAAACACATAAGGCCATATTCTCCTATGGAAAAACTAGATCTAGAAGAAAGGAAAAAGTGGAGTCAATACAAATATTACTATAAATAAAATAAATAGATATGACAAATGTATTCCTTACACTCACAATTAAAAAACAGCATGCTCCTAAACAGGTTACTGGATGACCCGCAGTAACTCTTTTCAGATTTCTGGAAAAGCTAAGCAATCACCAATTCCAACCTGATTTTTCAGCTTGAATTTGGTACCACTTTTACAAGGTCTTTATCCGTTATCTGATCCATTATCAAATTTTTTGTGTATGGAAATTCAAGACTATGATCAAGTTGTCTCTGTTAAGAGATTGCAGTCCTTTCACTGTAAGATGCATTATCCAGTCTCTCATCTTTACAACTCTTTATCCACTTCTCCACATTTCTTCTGATCTTTCTTAATTGCTGCCACTGAACATGTACATCTGACTAAATGTACTAGTACCCAATAAAAGGGAAACAATATATTTTACACAGATACACATTTTAAAAAATGTTTTCTGACCCACAAAACTTCTATCCTAGTTATGTATGTATTTAGGTTTCCTATTCATGAAGCCTATTAAAATCCTTTTCATAGAAGCCATTCTACAAGAGACTTTCTTGTCCTCCTCCTCTTCTCTGACCAATACTCAAGCCAAATTTTCTGTATGAATGTATTATTTTAAACTTTGCTTACAAGAAAAGCTAGAGCAAAACAAAATATAGTGGAAGAAACTCAAGAAGGGTCTTCAGTTTTGAAACTACAAAAAGAGTATCTCATAAATACTTTGCCTTTTTACATATACAAAACATGCCTAGTACAGACATACATGATGAGAACCACACATGAGTATTCATGTCAGCATTACAGACAATTTGCTCTTTACATATGGAAAAATGGTTTAACAAACAGTAGAAAGCATAAAATTTTCTGCTGTACCCTTCTCTAGTGTTATGGCTTCTAACTTTGTAACTGCAATCAAAACTCCATCTGGTTTCAGAAAAGTTTAGAGTAGGATTTACTTGCTGTATTAAGTAAGCTGCAAATATCCTTCTCACAGTCTAGGTAGGTCAGTTCCTCTCCAGCACTGTGCCCCTTTCTGAAAACATTTTTAAGTGAAATGCCATCAACTAAGATACAGAAACAAAGCTAAAACCCCACACCTTACTCTGAATGTTCGATTCCGGTCAGGGCCACTCCCGGGCTGATGGAGCTCATTAGCCCTTAAAAAGGCAACCCACCTACGTCCTAAGGACCTCGCTGCCACCGTCCAAGCTCGCTTGGCCCCGGCAGATGAACCTTAGGATTAAAGGGTGGGCTCAGTTCCGCGCACACTGTGTCTCACCTAAAAAATCCAATGCGCAGGCTGGAAGGTGTAAAGACCTTCCCCGGATCTTCGCTTGCGAAGACTGGCCATTATTATTACTCTAAATAAAGATCCAGTGCTTTTTCCACAACTTCTGAGCACTGAACAGGATGCCTAGAGAGATTGTGATGTCTCCATCCTTGGGAAGCATTGAAAAGTCATCTGGATACAGTCTGCAGAGCCTGCTTGATGACCCTGCTTGAGCACTGAAGTTGGACATGATGACCCCAGAGCTCACTGCCAACCTCAACTATTCTGTGATTCTGCACTGGTTTTGTTTTTAAGATGATTTTCCCCAGAATCTAGAAAGATTGAGTTTAGTGACTAATAAATCAAGAAAAAAAATTACTGCAATTATTCACACACAAAATCAAGTTTTTATTTGCCATATTTACAATATAAATATATTAATGCTACAAATACTCTCTCACGTTCTTTATTATCATGGCACTTGATATAAGGTAACATAGTATGCAAGCAAGATGCCTTAGTTTTACCAGGCACCTGTGTAGTCATCATCAAAGTTTAACCAAAACAGCACATAAGAGATTCTTTTCCAAAGGTCTATAAATCTTCAGTGCTAAAAGCAACTGTACATTGGATTTTCGTATTTTTGACCAAACAGATGCAAGATTTTGTTACTTTTATCAAAGGATTAGTAGTTTATTTGGTCGCAAGCCATAACAGTCTTCTCACTTTAGTATTTTACAGCACCAACAACTTTTTGCTTTGCAGAGAATACATTTTTTTACCCCAAAATCCATTGGGAAGCCATCACCAGCAGATACTGTTGATGATCTGAATTCCGTCATTTCAGTTGTAAGACAACCTTCAAAAATGAGAAAAGGAATGAGATTAAAGTTGCATAAGACCAAAACTTAACCAGTCTATGAAATGCAGCATTTTCCTTTCTGTTTCAGTATAATATGCAACTGCATAAGCATGTTTTTGCTCTGAAGAGCACACTATCCCTCTCTCAGTTCTCTTTTGCAACCTCACACAACTCTCACTTCCAATAACTTTCTTTACCCTTTACTGCAACTCAATCCATTCCTCAGCTGCCTGTAATCACAAAGTAGAATAGCAAAGTGATTCCTTCTGCACAAAGCAGAGACAAGGGACCATTTCTCAAGTGGATTCCTCCTTGTGTGTACACAAAGCTATATAAGGAGATGACAACATCCCACAGCTTCCATACAGACCCTCAAGCAGCCCAAAGGGTGTGTGGAGATTTAAATTTGCCATGAAAAAATCTTTGCTTGCATAGTGCAGAGTTCATGACAAGTTACTATTTAGTTTAGCAGGAAAGCAAATGCAGAAGAAGGCAAGCTCTGAAAGCTGTTAAGGGCTGTAATTTCATGAGACCACCATTTTCCTCAAATCCTTATTTTGCTTAGTCTTTCCTATTAAAAAGCTGAGATTCTCCAGTGTCACAGATCAGTTCAAGTGAAACCTTATCGTTTCAACTGAAATTTTCTTCTTGGTTTACTGTATTGCAATCTTTGTACCTTTCTTCCTGATTTACTATGCCACAGAAATTAAAGGACTCACTATGAACCAAACAACTGTCCCATATGCGCTCCCAGACACTGACAATTTGCGAAGCTGAGGAAACACTAGAACTCTCAGTAATCATTCAGAACAGGAAAGGGGTAATGGTATTAAACTAAAAGAAAGTAGATTTAGACTAGATATTAGAAATAAATTTTTTACAATTAAAGTGGTGAAACACTGGAACAGGTTGCCTAGAGAGGAGGTGGATGCCCCACCCCTGCAAACATTCACGGACAGGGCTCTGAACAACCTGATCTAGTCGACAGTGTCGCTGTTCACTGCAGGGAGGTCAGACAAAAGAACTTCTATAGGTCCCTTCCAACCCAAACTATTCTATGACTCTGCGAATTTTGCTTAAAATAAACTCCGTACATGAGAAGTCAGGAACAAAAAGATTATGTATCAGTAAAAGCTACCTTATTAGCAGCTTCCAGTGCATTTATTAGGTTCTGCAACTCTTCCTTGTTCATCTCTATAGAAATCGGCTTAATTTCACCATTTTCTCTCACATCCAAATCAAGGTTGAGGAGTGGCATTTGCAGCATGGAGATCTTATCACTGGAGAGAGCAAGCTATGCAGATTGACAAAACAATGATAAGTGTCAGGTGGAGCCAGGAAGTTTTTAGTCTTTCAAAACAACACATCTGCACTTTATATTCAATTTGTGCTACCAGAACAAATATCTATCAACATAACAAAATTAACTTCTCATAAGTCATCTCTACAGTTTGAGGTTTTTTTCCCCTCCCTATTATTTATTGGGATTTTTGTTTGTTTGTTAATACCAACAATATATTGAAATACTAAAAATCTCTCTTCACAGCAATACACTTCTCAAAAACAATTTGTTAAAATTACTGGGCTGACACATTTTGATATTATGGGTGAAAAGAAGGGATGTATTTGATCATGGTTCTTTAATGAAGTATATGAATTCTGAAATCACTGTATTCAAATTGGTTTGGTTTTCAACAAGAAGGGTCATACAGAGTAGGGCAGTTAGGAGAAAGAGGGCACTTTTATGCATTTTTCAACACTCTCTACAGCTGATCAAACACTGTTTGTCAGAGATCCTATTTGACAAACACTGATGAAGAGGATTACATACCAATTGTGCTTTCTTTTTTGTTTTCTATTATATCCACTGTAGCATAGATAAGGCTTTTAAAATGTATTAAAATCAAAGATCAGTTGATCTTTGGTTGACACTACAGGTCAGTATTGTATAGACCTATCTTAACTAGTCAGAGAACAAAATGTGATACAGCAGAGGAGACACAATGTCTTTGGTAGGGTTCAATCATGGCAAGTGAAAAAAATCATAATCAGCTCAAGGGGGGAAAAGAAGTGGTTTTAAGAAAAATAAATATACTAGTTCAGACATGTATCAGAAATGTGCATCTCTATGTAGAAAGAAGCTCAAAAAATCTTTCAGAATTAAAAACAGGTCACAAAAAAACCCCAAAAGTTCACATAAGTCCAGTTTGTATTTCTGTCAGCAGTAAGTGCAGTTAGCAAGAGATCAACCCCAGTAACAGTTCAAGCAAAGCATGTTATGATGCCATATTGGCTCTTGCAAAAGCTTGTCTGTTTTTGGCATTACACTTTGATTTCCAAAGCTGTTTCCTGCTGAAACTATTTAACACTCTTGTTAACATGGAAAACTATTTAACAGCTCTACAACTCTATTTAACAGCTCTCACGGACTAACTAAAAATATAAACAGTATAAGTAATTTTTTTAAGTATTTGTTATAGCTTAATTTAAACCAGCTGTCTTCATAACCTCAAAGCACCATCCTGCTTTAGACAACACCCTTATCACTGGTTTATCACAAAAGCAGTAAGACTAAACATAAACTATTTCAAACTAATTATTAAATGTTTATTGCAAAAACTAAAATTTTTTCAAAAGTCAGGAAAACTCATCCTGAATCAGTCAGCTAATCTTAAAATTAAGTAAATATTTCATCTTCCTTTGAGTAAAAATACACTTTATTCAGGCCCCAAAATCATAAAATCATACAAGACTTTCAGGTGTTCCTGAATAGCACTTAATGTGTCCCTTTAGAAAGAGACCAATACTGCAGCTTTAAAAGAAAGGAGGGCAAAAGCAAAATAAAAGAAATTTGAAAAAAATTACTTTTGAAGTTTACACAAATTTCTGCGAAGTCTCTGATGTGTTATCATTAATGTGCTTTTCCGATACTTACAGAAATTGAACCATGCTCCAGAGGGAGCAGGCCTAGGGGGATGATATCAATACTTACTTCTGTTTTGTAGAACATTTCTTTCAAAAAACATTAAGGTAAGTCTCACCTTTAACTGCCAGTCAAAATCCTGCAGCTGGGCAGAAGAGATTCCATTTACTCTTTCCACTAGGGCATTCCTGATTTCTTCCTTTCTACCCTTCAGACATTTTGTGATTGCTTCTTGATAGTCTGAATTTAACTCACTTATCTGCTGAGCAGCCTAGAAAAATAGTAAAAACCATGACTGGTTAAGCTACGAACCAAAGAAATAACATGCATCACCTGGAATAGCTGTGCTCCAGATATCCAAGCTCACAGCTATTATACAGGACTCCACAGACTCATCTTTTTCATCCTGCCTTCAGTGGCTGCTCTCTGTGTTTGATAGTTAAGATTCGGTGCTTACCACAGCAAGATATAAATTAAAAAATAATGTTCTTGCCACTTAAATTAAAAGACAACAGAGAACGGAGGCTTTATCAGCCTTCTTAGTTGCTACCCTAAAATCAAAACAAATCACACACACAAATAACTCAGGTTTCGCTCTGAAAGTTTCTTAACATCAGAGTGGAGGCCAAATACATTAGCTCAGCTGAAACAGACATATCGATGTACGGACTTCCATGGCTGCACATGTGTTTCTGACCCGGCTGCCAGCAGGTAGTCAAAATGTGAGGCACATGCAAAAGGCACGAATTACGATTTCTAATAGCGCAACAAGCTTTTGCAAAGTTCGCACATATTGGAATGCCCTGAATTATAGTCCCTGCACCACATGGTCCTCCGTCCACTGTTAGATTTAAAAAAAACCAAATTATTTACATACAGCCAATATTTTAAACCACTTCAATGCAGTACTAATGAACAAAGAAAGCCAACTGAGAGCAAATTGGCTTTGTTGCTAGAAAACAGTATTATTTACAGGTATGTATTTTAAGTTAAACAGATTTAATCTGGTGGTACTCAAAATACCAACTTGAGTGATTAACCCAGTATTTTAACAAATACCCGAAAATTAGAATCAATTTCACTTTTTGTTTTAGAAGTCTTAGCAGTGTAAATGCTGCTTACCTTCTGCTTAATCCAATACTGTTCAAATGCTACACTATAAAAATATTTTAGGACTAAACAGACTGCAAGACTAATCACTCCAGTATGATCTCTCAAAGTGAAAGGGTTTTTTCAGTGATGAGCCCTTACCTCTTCATCAGATATGTTTTTTCCAACTGCAGTTTTGAAATACGCCTTTGTTTCTTCTAAAAGCTCCATCCACTCTGACAAGCTCCAAATGTTGCCATAGTCCTGGTATCGAGGGTACGCACGGCCACATATGCCATCAACTACTTTATGAAGGAACTGAAACAATGTGATAAGGAACTTAAGTCAGAGTTCATCTACCAGCTATGAGACCGATCGAGCAATTCAGTTATCACCCTTCCATCCAGTGGGTACTGCCTCAGTGCTCCCTGAGGGCAGCATTCTAAGAAGTCTTTAAGAGGTGGTCCCCGAACACGAACTGTCCTCCCTTCTCCCCTAAAGTCAATTCACGACGTTTGGCCACAGAAATCACGCCGCGATTCAGATTCACCCTGGTCTTACATGTGGATTTAACTGGTGAGCACAACTACACAGCACCTCAGTCACCGCTGCACTGGGATGGCCAGGTCGCACAGCACACTTCCAAGTGCTGATTTCCAAGCCTGGTCTCCCAAACCACCGTCCTCCAGCACCGCGGCCTGGCGGAAGGGGGCGGCCCCGCGCCACCGGTGGGCCCGGCCTCGCTCACAGGTGCCGAGGAGCGGCATCTCGGCGTTCCCGCGGCGCACACCACCTTCCCTCCCGCCCGGGTCCGCGGAGATCCCACCTCAGGAGCCCGTCCCGCCGGGAGCTTCTCCAGCGGCCGCAGCATCGCCAGGCCCTCCCCGCCGGACACGTGACCGCCCTCCGGCGGTGCGCATGCGCAGGCAAACCCCGCCCTCTGCAGTCACGGGTTCGAGTCCCCGGGGGTGCTCCGTCAGTGGGGTACGGGAGCTCTGTGTGCGGCCTTCGGTCAGACCCCGAGCACCCAAACCCCCCGGCCTTTACGAGTTCTTATATGCGCTAACACTTTTCACTGTTTTTGCATTCTGCCTGTTTGTTTTTTGACTCTCAACAGGTTTAACTTTCCAACTTGTGGCGTGGGAGGAAGCTCAAGGCTTAACCACAGGCAACCACGTCATCTGTGATACTAAATTAAATTGAGGAAGTCAGGAGAAACGCTAACTACAGAAGTTCGTGCTGCCGTCGTGTTTTCCATGCACAGCTCACTTTTTTATGCTTTGCCAAAGTGGGAGTTCGATGCTAAGGAGACCCTGGAAGAGGTTTATGGAACAGGTTTTTAGCATTAGCAGTGACCTTTCCGTGCCTTGAATTGAGTGAATCTGAATGTAAAGAAGCAAAATTGCCCTGAGCACTTGCACAAGAAAACCTGTAAGAATTCAAGTCCAAAGGAGGGTACAAAACTGCACAGACACTTATACCTGCAGGCAGGCCTTATTTCGCTGAAATCACTGGGCTAATTTACCATCAAACAACTGGACTGTAAGAATACAAAAGCAGGTACAAGTCTGTACTGGTGGATATGAGGTCTGTGAAAAACCCCAGGCTGGTTAAGTCAGTTTGCAGCACCTTCTCCGAATATGTAGCCTTGTTGCAGGAACAATGTGGTGCGTGGGAGTTTTGGAGAAGAAACGGGGAAGAACTGATTTCAACCCAGTCTCCCTCAGGGTTTGCTACTGATAGTAGATTAAACATTTGAAAAAGGCTTCTTGAAAATTTATTCAGTTTTATTATGGAGAAATTACTCGAAGCTGCTGTTAAATTCAGGAATAGGTAAAATTGCAAATAAATTATTTTTCAATAATAATTTCCTTTATTCCCCTGGAATTCGCTTTGTTAGATACCTGTAAACCTCTCCAGTTTGACTGTAATATGTTGCACCCGACAAAATAGAGCACCAGGGGGAGCATCTGCTCCAAACAAAATAGACCCAGAGACAACAGGAGAAATGCGAAGGTGATCCAGACTTGGAAAGAAATAAATCACAGAGAGTAAGGAGAAAGATATAGCGATCGTCTCACTCAGTTGAAAGGGATCAAACAAGTGAAAAATGCAAGAGAGAAGAGATATAACGCACAAAAACAAGAATAGATAGAAGAGGATAGGAAACTACCATCCCATATGACACTATCCCAGTGAATACTTTCAAAGAAGCTAATTTTTTGCAGGTCTGAAGAATAGTTTCACTTTTCATGGATATGGAGTTTTAAAATAATATTTTGGGTTCAGCCTACTGGCCTATAAGGAGCAAAGGAAGACGGCGCAAGGAAACCACAGTTGGTTTAGATAAATCCATGTTTCAGAGCCCATGTTCAACTACAGAGAAGTAGGAGATATAAAGCTGGCCTTTAGCAGTTTGCAGTTTGTTTGGACCTGCCTTACTTGGATCTGCCATCAGGTTTTCACCCTTAAAAATACCTGCTTTTCATGCTTCTGTCCCACAGCAGCAATAATCCATCCCACCCCTCCGAAGTTAAGCTCTCAAAAAAATCACAAAATCAGACAGGGAGGGAAACTTGTTGACCAGTAAGTAGACAGGCAAGAGACTCAGGGCAGCAAGGAAGGAAGAATTTTATGAGAGAGAAATTCAGAGTGAACTTTGCATTATTTTATCCACATTGCTGATAACTTATAGAGGGGTTAATTTGCTTTAACAGATAACCCACAAGCTGCAGTAACTATAGTAGCATAAAAGTGTATTACATTGCTCTAAATATATCCAGCTGGGGAGAGCATCCAAGCACTGGTGTTACTGTCCCACAACTAACTATTAAATAGGTATGTCAATAGAAATAAATAGATAACTGTGTATTTTATCAACACAGGAGGGACAGTAAATGTGTTTTTAAATGCAGGGGAAACATGAGGTTGCAGTTCAGATTATGCTGAGCTAAATGTAGGAAAAGGGAGGTTCCGCTGGTCCCCTTGCCCCTATTGCCAGCTTCCTCTACCTGACCCTTATGACAGCACAGGATGAAACTGCAATTTGTTTGAAAACAAACTGTTATTTTTGCACTGGTTTATTTTTTTTCTTGGGTTAGATTTCAGCCAGGTTGGAACAGAGCACTACTTCTAACAGAGGAAACAGACCTCTGTCTCTTTTTCCTCTTTGGGATGGAGGGAGAAGACAGAACTACCCCTTCTGGCATCTCATACTTAAATCAGATGAAACTGGTCCTGAAACTACAGCTTGACAAATTAATATCAATCAGTGAAGCCCTTTAATTATTAAACCAGGAATCTTGAAAGCTTCTGTGGAAGCTTACATATAAACATGTTCATAGTGATATGCTACAGCTGAAGGAGATTGAAAACAGTCTCTAATTTTTATAGTCTGACCAGCCAGTGAAGTTCATAGTAAGTGAAGCTGGATGAACAACATGACAGTGATGTGTAGAACATACTTTATAAGCTATTTTCTCTTCATAATCCATAGTCATGACTCCTCCTGAATGACAAATCAGTTTCTTAAATAATTTTACTTGTAAATTTTAAACACACAAAAGCATGAGATGTTTTGGTTCTCCCCCACCCTCTTCCCATTCTGTAAATGCTCATGTATTTATTCTTTGAGACATGAAGAGTACAGCATGTCATACACAGTGGATACAGTCTGTGTCCACAGCTTTACACTTGTCTCTATTTTCTCTACGTGTTCCCAGTAAGGAGATATAACAAGAGGAACTTCCTTAAATATTCTTGATTTCACTTCTTACTCTGATATTTCAAAATCCTCTTGTTGGTTTCTGCAGCAGTTCTCTCCTTCTGACAGATTGCACTGAAGAACTAGCAATACCTCTGAGGGAGATTCTTCTGGTTCAACATCACCTTAGAGACACACAATTTATATACCAAACTCTGTATAGCCTTTCACAGACAAAAACACACTGAAGAGATCATTCAAAAGGTCTCTCTGCCAACGGTAAGATTTCAGAGAGGAACTCCAATTGCTGGAGACACTCCAAAAATACTTAAAGTACCAGATGGGAAAAATCTCATACATATTACTCAAAATCAAACTAGTATCATAGGTTTGTAAAATATCGGACCTGTATACATCTTGACACCTGTCTGGCTGAGGTAGTAGAAGAGACAGAACCTGGTATCACACCCAGTATTCTGCAGGACAGAGGCAGGGAAATAGCTCAGACCAGAAGAGTGACCTTCTGTGTAGTCCAAGGAGCCTAGGTCCACTTGAGCCATATGTCCACTAAAGCAACCAGCTCATAACTCAAGACAAACTGGAGTGAGTAACTGGGACTCTGCTCATGAGTATCACTGGTCACCATCTTTTGCAAACAGCTGGGCAGGCACAGACTTATTCTGCCTTTCCTCCCCTGTCCCCAAGACACACTTCTTTGCACAACTTCTTTGATGGGAGAGGGTGGAGTCTTTGTCTTTCATCCTACAAGAGTATCTATGAGTATTCTCCTAACTCTCCTTTCCTACAGTTCAGGCCCATTATTTCTTACGCTGTGCTCAGGGAACATGCAGAGAGTTTATTTTCATCTGCTCTACTGCTATCATTTTATAAGGAAAAATCTATTGTCACCATTTCTATTCCTCTATGTCCCTTTCTTCTTGCTTAAGAATTTTAAGTGAACTGAATACCAGGTACGTGTCAGGACTGGAATTTTACTCATAATGTGTAGGTCTAATGATTGTAGTGTCTGGAATGCAAAAGAACAACAACAACAATAGAAAATTAATAATCCTATTTAGGCAGATGCAGTAAAACCATAAGCCAAATATTTCCTCCCTGCTCTAACCCTAACCATAAGATTTCAGTATTAATAATGAATGGTAAGAGTGTGTTGGTGCTTTTCAATAATCTCTGGACATCATAAAACAGAAAAGAAAATGCCTTGTAGGTAAATTAGCCCTATTAGTAAACAACAATTAGTAGATACTGAAATATGCTGCACAGCAAGTTGTACCAACACATCATAATAGCAGGAGACAGAATGTATTCATAAAGTAATAAAGACCCTACTAAGTACATCTCACAAGGAGTTCATGGACTGTATTTATTATATAACTCTGAGCTGAGAGCTACTATGATAGCTACTATAGATTTAATTTTTATTGCACCAATTTTAAAGTAATGAAAAGAGCTGTTGGTGAAAGTTACACTGGCAATATTCTGTTTTTGATGAGAGAGGTTGTTTCAACCAAGGGCATATAAAGAAAAGGTAATTTTGACAGGCTAAGAAAAAGCCATTTATTTATACAGCTACATCCATAGTAAGAGTGCTTTTGCCAGTAGAGCACAGCATTGCTTTTTTTACTCAATCCCTTCCAGGGTAAAGGGAGCCAACTTGCTGCCAAGTCAAATGGCCTTTCTCAGTCTTGTCAGTCTGTGTCCAGTTTGGCAGTACATTGTGCTGGCCAGATTGTCTGGCCTTTTTTAGGGTCTCTAAATAATATATTAAGGGGCAGTTTTCCACATATCTACCTCCTACTTCTGCTCTTGTCTTCTGCATAAGAGAAATAACTAAGAGACTTCACTAAAACAAATCAAAACAAGTAATTTGAAAGTAACATCATCTCACAAAGCTAACTAAGTATTCCAGCACTGATGTGAAAATTTTGGGAATTTGAGAAGCCGTTGTAAGAGTCCTGGACAAATTCCTTATAGTTACCAACTTTTCAAACCTTGCTAATTCACACTGTCACTGCAGTTGCATAATCACCTTGACCCATGACCTCCATGACTCCTGGGGCAAATTCTGCTTTGAATCTTTTTTTTTTTTTCCCCAGCATGACAGTGTCTCAAATTAGCAAAGATACAAAAAGAAGAGAAGCACTTTTTTGCATTGGCAAACTACTTTTTTGTGGCTTAGTCACTGATGTCA